TTTTTTTTTTGGGGGGGGGGGGGGGGGGGGTTAGCATGCTTGAACATAAAGAAACCAGATGCCGATGAGAACAAAATTTTATTCAAAAATCAATAAAATATTGATTTAACAGTACAACTATGTTTCTAGTTTTCAATTGCTAAGTTCACATAAGTTAAACGATTTACAAAAATATATTGACCCTTGGTCTATCTAGATACATAGAAAACATGGTTTTCTTTTTGAAACACAGATATGTAAATAGCTCTTGACAGAGTTAAAATGCAGGTAATGAGCAAGATTCAATCTATTTTTTGCACCCGTTACTTTTGAGTATCATCAGTTTCATGCCATATTAATTATTTGTTTAGAAGGATGGGTGTGAGTGTGGGTGGATTTCAAGTTACACCCACACCCACACCCACCTTTCATAATTGTAAGTATGCCTAGTCGTATTTATTTTGATGATTTTCCTTTGAGCACATCTTCGATGTCTTTTTGTGATTAGTGTTTAGTAAGTCATCCTCCTGATGGAAGATGTTCAAAAAACTATGATAGAAAACTTGGTGAACACTCCAGAAGTACAAGTGATTGTAAATTTAAAAGATTAGTTTGAATCGACATAAAAACTCTATCAAGTGGTAGAATAAGTCGGGTGTCTAAAGTAGATTTTATGTATCGCAAAAAAGAAACAGTCGACAAATACGTAATGAAGGAAATAAGTGAAAAATTCTTTCATAATATGCACCTTCATGCAAATCTATAAACGTATAAACAGCACGAAAATAAGTTGAAAAGTATACGCTAAACATGAGGAGAGAATCAATTCAAAGCAAGAACGTTTAATGTCGATTAAAGATAAATGACACAGGTTAATAATGCAGATCCATGTGATGCCAGTCATAAGCCATTTGAAATAGATTATTAACAGACCGAAAACATATAACGAGAATGTGTGTGATTCTTTTTCTCTATTCGTCATACCGAGACATATTTTGCATATAAGTGTATAATTAGAGTGTGTGCACGCCAATCACTTACTTTTCCTTTCTTCTCATCATCCATTTACAGGGTATGCACATCACGAAGAATTACCCAAAAAATGAATAAATATATTCTTGTCTCCATAGGTTCATATGTAAGCTGAAGCAAAACAAGCATTATTAATGAATATTTGCGCTCTTCACGAAATTCGCTGCGCATTGTATGATAGTATTGGCAGGGGCGATTATTTTTCAAACCAATGATTTTCATATTCACGGAATCAATTAGAAGTACAAACAAAGAGAAACAAATTAAAATTAGGATATAGAAACAGTATAAATGATTGAACAACTGATGAAAGCAATCCACTAATAGCAATTGCGGATTATCTTGTTAATTGTGCGTTTAGTTAAGCTAGTATTTTTATTTTATTTTATTTAAAAACTAATATTATATGATTTTTATTTTATATGTCACTTAATTATATTCCAACGTGCGCAACAGGATTATTTTGTGCACGAGCATTGGTTACTCAACTATATTACTGTCGTTACTTGATTACTGATTCTAGTGCACCATTCATTACTAATGTTAAAGGTGCTAATTTATTTGTTGAATATTTACGTCAATTAATTATTGGGAAGTATAAATGGTTGTATCTATTTGTTGTATTTCATTGATAATACTTATTCGCGTAACTTGGTTAGTTGATTTGGTAAAAACGAAAGATAATTAGATGTTTGGTTATTCTCTAAATTAAATTTTTTTCTAGTCGTGCTCATTAATGAGAACTCAGTATGAACATCAAGAAGATATTGCTCTTGCTCGTGGTACAGCTTTAGCAGGTACGAATAAAAATTTTTTAAAGTAAGACAAAAAGAAAGATCAAATATATGTTTTCCAGAAAGTACTACAATGACGTTAGTAATACGAAATAGAAAAATAGTATTATCAAACGTAACTATTAGATATGGCTGAATATACAAAAATTATTGTTCTTCATTACTGATATTTAGAAAGATAGTCATATTATATTCCAATTATAGCTCATACTGAAAATCAAACAATTATAAATATGTCATGCTTAGTTGAAGTCTACTCATGTAATGGTCATGTTGCTCGTGGTGGGGAAATTCTTTTAATATGAGCAGCAAGAGCAAAAGATTAATTATTTACATGTGAGGTAACACCACATCATTTATTTCTTCATTGTGATAATACACAATTTATATTAGATGGACCTAATAATATGGAAGGTTTTCATCATTTAAAATGTAAAATTCAAGCAATTTGATGATTGTCAAGCATTGTGGAATAATATTTATATGATCAATTGTATTACAACAGATCCTTCATCACATGGATGTGGCAAAAAATTCAATATAGAAAATTCACTAATTCATTTTTCTGGCTTACAAATAATATAATCATTCTTATTAACAGCTACAGGTCGAGAAAAAATAAAAATTGAACAGTTCATTGAAAACACATACCAATCCAAAACGAATATTTAATTTATCTGATCAAGATAACAGATTGATTGAAATTAATATGACAAGAAGGGTGTGGGCGTTTGATGAAAAATTATTGTTAGCAATATTCACATGAACAAAATTTATTGATATGACCATAGATGGTACTAAAAATCGTCATGGCGTGGTTTCTGCTAATAGACAATTGGTAATTGTATGAATTACAGAAAAAAAAGGATTCATTTACATGATGAATTGAATGAAAGAAACATGAACTCTAACAAAATTTATCATTGGAAAATAAATATTCTCCTGTTCAAATTAATCGAAAATGGCAAGAATGTAAATAATTGAACTTTTATTTTATGATTTTCAGTATTTTACTTTGGATAGTGATTAGTGAACCCAGTAGCTTGAGTAAACCGGAAAATATATAACAAAAGTAGCAGATTCTAAACTAGCATGACAACATATACTTAGTTATTTGAAATAAAATCGTACATATGTACTTTTATATTTTAATCATAGGATTCATCTAGGTAATCTTCGTTTTGTTTACTGTTTTTCATTTATTTATTAGTGTCGAAAACTTTTCACGTTATCCCAGTCATTATTATCATAATTGCCTATAGTATCATCACTCGACAGAAGATCAATATTAGCTGTAATTTATTCTATTGATATTAGTTAATTTTTAGAAATTAAAATCTTATCTCTAAGCTGAAATTTAATCTCATATCTTATTTGAACTTTCAACATGTACACAGTCTCCATTTTCGATTTTCATGCTACATTCATGGTGGTAGTGTTATTATTTTATCTGATAGTCAACTATCATGAAATACTTAAAAAGCAATCGAATCGCTTGAAGGTTAAATAGTTTTATTTAAGGTACACTTTACTTTTACTTCATTTTTTTAAATTCTATAGATTCAGTTTGAATGATAATGGGGTATGCTGACATTAGTGTTATTCGTCATACTGAAGTAGGTATTATACAGGAAATAGTTGATATTTTACATGTACCAATGGGGGACTACCGGGGCTTATATTTTGGGATTTATTTTCTCTGTGTAATTTATAGAGAATTTATTGATTATGACGATACTTCAAAAGACTCACACCCATACATATCCCACCACCCACATCATGTATTTACTAAGGGACCAGATGGGATTTATCTTAAATGTTTGAGATTTTATTGATATAAATCCCAAAAACATAAGTCACGATAGCTGTTGAAGAAATTGAAACATTTAATGTTTTAATGTTAAGTTATTTTATATGATTAAATTTAAAGATTATTGTTAGTCGAACACTGTTCGGTGGTGTGAAACAATGTAAAACGGTATATTCACTTGCAGACGTATTAATTGTATGCAATGATTCTATGTTAAATCGTTTTTTGCTTTCTTTTATATTAGTAGTTAAACAATGTAAGTTTTTTTTCAGAGCCAATTTCATTTCATTGCGCTTCTCCGTCATCAATAGCTATGTGCCAAGATCTAATCAATTGTATTGCAGTGACATGCATTATACAAGTATGTATAATATTAAAAAAAGAGGAAGGCAAGTGCTTCCGATCAAGCAATTCAGAATTTGGATGTGAAGTGAAAATTGATAATTTCTTTGAAACAAAATAACCGTATTTTCATGAAACGCTAGTACATTTCATATTGCTCAATAGCATGAAATAGTAATTGCCAGGGTAGTCACATAAATGATCCGTCGCTTGTGACTTGAACTTACATGCATCATGTAGATCCTAATCAGTTATAAATATTTTGGAAAGAGTTCAAGGCATTAACTTATTGCTGTGGTACTAGAAGAATTAGTGTTCGTACGCTAACTTGAAACTATATGCAAGGACAGACATTATAGAGAATAATGCTTTGCTTTTGTAAATGCTTCAGATCTTGTCGTTATGTATATCCTGAGATATTATTTTGATACGGTAATGCAATGTCTTTTATATTGACCATATTAACTGGTAGATAATAAAGTTATTATTTCAGCATAGGAACAAATCAAAAGTCTAGAATACACTAATCTCGTTAACGTCTTTTATTTGAATTCGAAAATCTTTTTTTTTTTGATATTCTCCACACAGGAAGTGGTCACCGGTTTCTAAAAATACCGTTAACGTGCACTATCTCTACAAAAATGAGCCAAGAGGAGAATACGAATTCTTTTCAGAGTATATTTATCGCTCATTTGAATCATCATTATACAAATACTTTCAACAAAAACTGATTTAATCATCAGTGCTATAGAATAAGACGCCTACACATCTACACCTTCATAACTTTTCATGTGAATGACTTTTGCATTTTCTATGAACAGATCAACGAATACCAAGAGATTATTATAAATTGACAACTCAATTTAATACTGTTAGTGGATGTATATCAGCTTATGTACCACTAATACAAATGCTATATGATCAAAAAAAAGATCATTAGTCGATGTCAGACTTGTTATATAAAAGGCTAAACAAGCAATGAAGAAGAAATAAAGAAAGGCGATGAATATGCCAAAGACTCAAATGATGACGAAGAGAATGGTTAGAAAACTCGGTACCTGTTAAGTTTCATTCTCTTTGAGCCCCGTATTGTTCACAATGGCGAATTATAGTTCTTGTTTTGTTAAGAAGGTTGATATATTAGACATGATTTAATTCTCTTCTTTTATTTTATTTTAATTTATTTTAAATTTAAATCAATTTAATTTGATTTGATTTGATCTTATAGTTTATTAATTTAAATTTTAAATTTACAAATTGTGACGTTTCGTATCCCGATAAGATACTTCATCAGACATAAAAATTTTAGACAAATGACATATGTACAAATAAACAAATTTTCTTTTCTTTCAGTATTAGTCATACTGTTGATAGTGATACGGAAAAGGATTCAATCCTTAGCTAGCTATTACTATTACCGTCTTGTTTTCCGCATCACTATCAACAGTATGACTAATACTGAAAGAAAAGAAAATTTGTTTATTTGTACATATGTCATTTGTCTAAAATTTTTATGTCTGATGAAGTATCTTATCGAGATACGAAACGTCACAATTTGTAAATTTTAAATTTAAATTAATAAACTATAAGATCAAATCAAATCAAATTAAATTGATTTAAATTTAAAATAAATTAAAATAAAATAAAAGAAGAGAATTAAATCATGTCTAATGGCGAATTATAGTAGAAAACATTTCATTCATGAGTTATTGTGTAATTCCAGCAGAGTTAGTTCTGTATGAGTCTTTTTAAATATTCGAGAAAGCATTCATTCCGTTATTTTGATATTCAAAATATTGAATTGTATTTTCTAGTTATATTCAACTATAATATTCGTTTTGAATACTTGTTCATAGACATCTTTTTTTATAGAAAAAGCTTATGTTTTATTTAATATTAAAGTACTAGCGAACAGAGGTCCAAACAAATATCAACTGACATCGGTAACACATACTCTTACATTTTAATTAATAAAACTTGATGTTTTCTTTATAGAGCTTCAAGAAGATGAATTCTTGTCAATACCAAAGAAAAATACATCTTTAATTATAGTTGCTGTATCGAATCTACTACAATGAGTATCTAAACAGAAATCAATCAATTTTATCATGTGATACATTTTTGTAAAAAATTCTTATTGTTGTTTATTTTGTTACTTTCTCAAGAAAGTAATAGATTTTTGCTTAATCTTGATATCGATGAACAGTTCTAGGTCATAATAAGAGAAAAGTGGTACCTACTTCATCAATAGTTTCTAGATTGGCTAGCAATGTGTCTATTCATACTAACCTTTGCTTATGATCGACCAATACGTTTTTGGCAAGCTAAAACTACAACGATTTATAGAACGACAATACACGAACAGTCAGTAAAAAGAGATTATGCATGTTTTAGAATTTTTCTTGTTTTTCCTTTAGCCAACTAATTGTTTGACTTTACATCCACAAAAGCTTTATTAGGAGCTAGTAGTTATCAACATATAAAATGTATGAGTTGATGTCGCATAATTCAAATCCAGTTATACAATTGGATTGATTACAAAACAATATTGTGACATTATATTTTAGTGGTAATAAACATCTTATGTTTTCACTTGTTGAGTATCATAATGTTTCAATTTGAGACATTATATTAGTATTTTTATAGACAGAATTTTGTTAGTAAAGCTTGAACATATTTAAATTATAGAATGACTAAGACATAAGCCAAGGGGGAAAAGGGTACTTCTATACTTCTGAAGTGCAGAAGTACGAAGAAGCCCCGAGAAGTATGAAGAAGTACTGAAAAGTACAGAAGTACGCTTTCCCCCCTTGACCTTGACATAAGCTCATCGACAGATTGCTGTTTCTGCTACTACCAACTATGTTATTTTTCATCTAAATTAAGTGTATAAATTACATGACTACAATACATGTAGAACTATTCATTGGTGAGCAAGAGAGTACTATCTATCGCTAGAATATGAGTAAAGATCAACATAAAAAAAATATGCATTCCATACTAATTTCTCGTTTACTATCGATTTCTTTTTTATTTTAGAAAACTGATACGAAAAATTAGAGTATAATGTGATCGATCTCAATTAATCGTTATCCTGCAATGGTAGCTGTTGTTAATGGTAATGTAGGTATGGAAGTTTCTGATTAAATTCTAAGTTCACATTTATCTTTGATTCTCATTTTACATAAAAAGGGACTATCAAAGTTGGTCGATGGATGGATTCCTTGCACAAACTTATCTTATATTGTGTACAAATGCTACTCATTAAAATGTACTTTGTTTAAATCCGATATTACCTTTGTTTATCTGCTTCTAAATAGATTAATTTATTTTTCTTTTAGTTTAATAATCACTACGTCAACCAATCGTAGAGTTAAAATTTTACTTCAATTTGATTTTGCTTGTTAGTATGAAATGAAACATGACTGGTCATTAAACGAGACATGAGATTGTGCATTTAAATAGGATTAATTGTTTCTTGTAAGAATTTTGCGTTCTTTTTATTTATTTTTTCGGTTCTTTAATTTAGGATACCCTGATGACACAGCTCGTTTATGGTCAACAGAGCCGAGTGAAAGTTCCAACGGATATATCGATTATCAAAAACCAGCTACTTATTTGTCATTCGAAAAGTGAATAGCTTTATGAGTTAACAGTAATTCTTGTATTTTATAGAAATATACTATGGTAGTTTCTGCTTTTAAATGTGGTTGATTTCGTTATCTTCTAATTTTGAGAAATAAATTATCTAAAATATTCAAAAATAATCTAAAGATTTGTCGAAGACCTTTCAATCTAAACGAATAAAAACTTTATCATTTAATCCTTTTATTTCAGCTGTTTAATGTTGTATAAGAAAGAAAACTATTAACGAAAGAAAAAAAAAACAAGTCTTATCAGAAGTAAATATCGTCTTCCTCATCGTTCAATATATTATCATCAGTGTCGACCGCATCAAAAAAAACTCATCTTGTGTAATAAGCGCCATTCCTTCTACATTATACATCAGCATCGCCATTTTTACCACCAGTTGCCGGTGTTCGTTGGATATTGGATCAGGATAGAAAGACCAAGAAGAATTAAGAATTGCTTGCTGACCAGAAATCAATGACTCGCCTGATCTAGCATCCAGAATAACCATGTAAAGTGTTTCTGAAATAAAGAGACCAATCTCTCTTATTTGAGAGATCATTAAACGTCCGGAATCATTCGGATGGTCAATCTTAACTACAATTGATACCTGATATGCAATTTCTCCTAAACCATCTATAAATGATGCTTCTGGGTTTAGTTGTAGACGAGTAACAATAATCGCCTCGAGAAAATTTCGCAGTTGACTATCGGTTACACGACTTGTTATGGCACGTATTGTTTGTCGTCTGTAGCGTAAAATATTGATGATCAATTCGAGAGCTACATATGAAGTTGCGGTACAACCACCCAACAATAAAACTGAGCGAACGACAGCAGCTGCACCAGCACGTTGAAAAATATGACGAACTATACGCTCCAGTCTCCGTTGAGTACCATTGATAGTCGGCATATCTGCGAATAACTTTTCAGCACTAATATGCTCAATGAAAATCGATGCAGAATTAACGAATGTTGCGATAACCGCTATACATGTAGCCACACCACGTGTTGCCAAATAACCAGAAGATATAGCACTATGACCTTGTAGAACATTTTGGATCATGTTGATTCTAAAGGAATAGTAGTTAAACAAACTTTTTACTAGATTGACATAGATACAAGTATATTGAAAATATGTCAACATCGATTTTACTGTGTTTTAAGTTTTACCAATGTATATATAATTGCAATTCTTTTTAGACTTTCGATTTTTATTAAATAGAAGACCATATTCATACGCAAGATTATCATCCTTCAAGTACGTTTACATTAGTGATCGTTTATTGTTTGGCATCAGAACAGACTAAACTTTAACAACATGATGATTTTAAAAGAATTATCGGCTATAAATAATCGGATATGTTTTAGAAAAATATTTTATTCAAAATTCTGATCAAAGGGCATTATTTTAAATATTAATGCAAACAATAAAAAATACAGCAAGGAGAACCAATATTACAACTTTATCAACACTGCAATTTTCTTTTATAACGTTTTAAGATCGTTCCATGTTCACAATGAACTAGAAAAACAAATATCTATCGATGGAAATATTCTCTTTTCTTCAATGAATGCTCTTCAGACACAATAAGATTGATTCTGAAAATTTATTCTTCGAGTACTTATTAAAAAATTAATAGTAATAGCGGTGACGAAATAGTTAGAAAGATAAACCTACTCGTAGAATAAACAAGTTTCGTTGTATTTGGTGATTTACTGATAAAGAGAATGCGTGAAAGAGAACGAATTAAACTAACGTATTTATATATATATATATATATCATACATTTCCAGCGTTTCATTTTCTATATCAGCGACTATTAGGGATGCAACGGTGACGATCAAAAACCGTTTCACCGCTTGAGACCGGTGAAACGGTGGGAGCGGTGGACCGGGCCCCGGTGGGAGCGGTGAAACGGTGGACCGGGGAACAGTGATGCGGTGGACCGGGGCCCGGTTCACCGGTGAAAGCCGGAAAGACTACGAAACACCTTCGGTGAAGGCCGGTTTTTTCTAAGATTCAGAGATATCTCTATCAGTGTGATCTGGTAGCACCACTGCACCGGCCTTCACCGTAGGTGTTTTGTAGTCTTTCCGGCTTTCACCGGTGAACCGGGGCCCGGTTCACCGCTCCCACCGGGGCCCGGCCCACCACCTCATCGCTGCGACCGGGGCCCGGTCCACCGTTTCACCGGTCTCAAGCGGTGGAACGGTGAACGATTAATCGTCACCGTCGCATCCCTAGCGACTATTGTTCATACTGTCTATTTGTTCTTGCAAAGAATAATTACTACGCTGGAAAGTTCATAAGATCCAAACGTCATTATATTCATTTAACATACGAATCAAGATCTGTCATTTAAGCATATTTTTGTTTATCTAATCATTATTATATATGAAGATATTCATGCATTTTAAATCTAATATAAATTAAATTTCATCTATATTTAAATACAAGCAATCTTTGGAAAACAATATTTCGCTCAAAAATCAACACTCGTATGAAGAAAATATCTTTTGAAACATTTTAGAACTCGAAAAATATCACTATTATACGTATAATTAAATTTTGAGCAATTAATCCTTGTTGCATCCTGTTTAGAATTATTTTACTTTTTTCAGTTTTTGACATTCCAAAAAAGATCTAATTCATTTAGTAAAAAAAGTGTTAGTATTAATTAAAAGTTGTGCAATATAATCATCATGAACTTCATTAAGATTAAGTTGAGTAAGATGAGTGAAGTTGACAATTAACAAATCTCTTAATTTTCCACATGATTCTTTATTTTGTGGTCTTTCATTAATTAAATTAAATTTATTCAGAGATGGCATTGGAAAATTTGAAAAACAAATTCAAGTTCAAATGGCTGTTCATCAAACAATGATATTTCAGGAACATTCTGAGATAATCCACTTGAAAAATTATTTGTGGTATTATTGTAATCTTTCAATGCATAATTTTTTGAATAAATATGACATTGAGCTTTCATTGCCTGTGAAAAATAATTAATACAACAAACAATTTGAGAATTTTTAAAATCTTTAAATGTTTGTTGAATATCTTCATTTTACGGTAAATTAATTTGAATTAGCAGCATAAATCATTCGAGGAAAATTAAATGTAAATTTATTTAATTGTGACATATGATTGATAATATTTTCTTGTAGATTATTGCCATCAACAAATGTCTTTCCATTAAGCTTTAAAAAATACAAATTAAGCTCTTCCAAATTCGGCATTCAATGTAGAAATGGTATAATTAATCGATCATAAGTTTCCATATAAGCATATTGCAGTATAACGAGATGCATCTTAATTTAGGTAATTTTCTCTAGAAAAAAATACAATATATTTTTATTGGAAGGAACGCAATATTCAAGACAATAGAGTTCATTGAAACGTTCATCAAGTGAATAAAGACAATCAGTAAAATTATTCAAACTAACAGTCAATTCTAGCAGATATGACGAGAAAAATGTTTGAGGTGAAATATTAATTCATAGCTGCTGATACCAAATTGATGTCAAAACAAAATTTAAAGATCCTAAATACATGAGCGTAATAAGAATATTTGTAACCAAAAGCGCACTCTCATCTTGTGTTAAGTGTGATCTTTGATTTCTGATATCGCTACAAGTGACGAAATCGAAGTTTTAAACAATGAGTTAAAGGTGTTTCATCTAAATAATTACAATAAGAAAATACAAAAATTAAAATGTTTTGAAATATTAATAAAATTGTACCATTGATTCGTTTGCTCTTTTTTCAAATTTATTATGCAAACAAGATCAACGGAGATAGTTAAAGAACCGCTTGATCATCAGCTCCTCTCTATATCTAAGTCAAAGCTATTCTGAGACATAATCTTTTCACAAATATTACAATCATATTTCACAATTACCATTTTATTGTCTAAGAATCATTAAATAAACTGAATACGTAGAAATATATACATCAGTTAATTTCGAATTTTTTGTAGGGTTACATTATATGTTAAAATTTCAATACTTCGGATTGACCGTAATCAATATTGAAGGTAGGTTCAGGTTGTTTCTGCAACAAGTTATCATTGATATTAAAAAAATACCTCGATTTTATATCAAACAGAACTTGAAATATTATACAAACAAAATAATCAAAAAATGCTTTTTCATTAGTATTAATTTCTATGAAAATCATTATTTAACGAATTAATTTTACTCGTCATTCGCACTTGAGGAATCGATGAATTTTAGACTCAACACTCTTCTTTTTAAATGTCATTCATTTGATCTTTCCAACCATAGTAAAATATCTGTATAGAAGGTTAACCGAACTCCCCCCAGCCTTGACAGCGTCGGTCGGTAGAATGAGTTACCCTAAGAGCAACAGTAAAGTAATAGCATGCTTTCACTGATTTGGTTTACAACTATTTTACACTGCATTGAAATTATTCTTATATATGCATAATCCTGGGAGTGTCCTCTTTCAAATGTTGCAACAACCACATTTATCTGAAATGTCGTGTAGGAAAAATCAGGGGTCTACGACAAGGACTTGCATCTACTGCTCTTAGAAGCCATTTCCCTAATAACAACAGTCAGCTAATTTTTGATCCTAATAACAACACTAACAAAATTGAAGCAAATTTATCTTTATCAAGAAAAAACATTTTTTTCATATTCTTGTAAACGATACAGGAAAAGTGTGTCTAGCAATTTTGTAGAGCGTGTCGAACTCTCTCATTGAAAGGTTCCTCAGAACTCAATATTGACTTCAGTGAAATAAATTTTCTGAAACAAGCAGGTCTAAAATCGAAAAATAAATTTTGTCTCTAATTCCAACATCTGCACCAAAAAACCTCTAGCATTGGAAAAAAGACAAAACTGTCTTCGCATACGAAAAGCCCGGTGGATTCTGAAGGCTTTTCATCACTCAATTTAATAATTCAGAAAGATTGAATTTTTAATGCCTGTGGTATCCCTCAAATTTTCGAAAAACGCTTTTGTTTATTCTATTTTTTTTCATGCATCGATAGAACAACGTGTGATGATTATGAATGTTGTCTTTTTCCAGTATTAATGAAAAGATAACAGATATCCAAGACATTTAAATATGACCGAAAAATCAGTTTTTCGTAGAAAACGTTCATTGTATTCATCGAACACTTTCAAAAAATACATTCATTCGACGTAGAATTATTTTCACTACTAAAACATATAATCGATTTTCTGGTGAAAAGACTACTTTAAAATTTTAATGCTCGGATGCAGACTGCAATGGTCATACACTCAAAAATATTGAATTTTTCGTACCTCTCATTCGTGGAGGACTTAAGATAATTGAAGTAAAATATCTTATAAATAAACCGATGATTAGCTTGTTCTATTTCAAATCTTCATAAACTAAGTGTATATAAATTCGGACAGTTTGCAACAAGAAGGATGTGTTCAAAAGATGCTGATTCAAGACTAATCCATTTGATTTCATGACGACTTTTAGCTGAAATTGGTAAACAAAATCGATCAACCACTGAACCGGAAGATGGATAGATGGAATCATCAGAGAAATATCTTCTCATTATTAAACAGCTTGTAACAGTTGGATCACATATAATTTTGTTGAATCGCTCATAAACATCTAATAGAGAATAGACTACGTCGAAGTTGATCAATTTTTTAAATTATCATTAGAATTTCACGTGGAAAATCATTGAATCCAGACAATGAATGTTCGATTTTTATCTTTTTTCTGATGTATATATTTTTTGACTTAGAGACGTGAATATCTGTATCGATATCCTCATTTCATCTGTTAGAGTGATGCCGTCAATGAGATGTCCTTTAAATAGAAAAATAGTTCATGAAATGACAAAATTTTCTGGGAACAGGATTCAGATTAATGATAGAAAATATATCATATTCCGATTCCTTATTGCTATCTGTAAAATAAAAGATTTAGGTCTGACCTTGTTTCATGGGAATTTTTCGTACAAGAGTATATGAAAAAAAACTTAAATTATATTCATCAATCATTGGCTGTTCGTTGTTTAATGTATGGATCGGCCGTCCGTTTGTGTTATTTTTGTTTTTTCATGCATTCATCCTGCATGATTGATCATTTGTCATCATTGCATAAGAGAATAAAAACAATTAACCAATACAACATAATGACGATACGAATATATTGAAATGTACGAATGATACGGTATCGAGTGTACAAGTCTCGAATAAATGTATGTATAATACATCATTGAAACATGAAGCTGGATGAACTGCCACCTGAGCTGTTATTTAAAATTTCAACTTATTTGACTTTGTTCGATATTGGATACTCATTGATGGGTGTCTCTAATCATCTAGATAGGTTGCTTGCTGAAAATAAAAATGATCGTCGTACACTGGCTTTTCACGATGGTCGTTGTTCGTATTCTCTTTATCGAGCTTTTCTAGACGATCACAATGGTTTCCGTACACGTTGTTTAAGTCTTTTTATTCGTTCATTGGTATTGGACGGTTTTTGCAACATAACATGTGCTTATGGTATTCTCTCTAAATGGGCTGATAGCACACCTTCATTCTTACCTTCTGTACGAATACTCACTTTGTCTAATATGCAGTTTTTTCACAAATATTGCTACAAACCACTTGCCTTGATTCTTGCTTGCGGTACCGGTACTAATATCATAGGACAACTCGACAAGTTGACATTGGTTTTTGACAATGCCGATTCATGGTATGTTACAGTTCTTCATCAACTCATCTTCTTACAAGCTTCTTGTCATACAATGATCTTTCACGTAACTGACGGTATGTACGACAGTAATAAATAAAACTATAGATTATTTTTGTCATTGAGATTAATCATTCAGTTCAGCTTCTCATCACATCCAAAAAAAAGACATCCGAAAAATTTTCCAAAGGTTTTTTCATATCATTCACAGAAAAAAGTTTATTTGTAATTGATTTGGATGTTTTTAAATATCTTTAGGAATGGAAAATTGGAATGAGACAGGTCGAGGAAGCTTGTACGTTTTACATGGTGTTTGTGGACGACAGTCTTGCTTTTTACGTACTGTCTATTTGACATTGTCTCTTAAACGCTTCACGGAACTATTATTTCTACTGCAACCAAATGAAATACCGTGCCTTAAACATTTAACTGTAACATTTGAACGTAGCGATTCAACTGTTTCTAATTTAGAACATTTGTATGAACCTAAGAACATATTGAC